AATGTGCATGGCTCCCTGAACACACAAAGAGGGGATGCCTATAATTCATTGCCTGGCAGCAGTCTGTGTTTCTCATGTTTCTTGGTCTTAATGTAGAAGTTTTCACTCTTGCACACTTGTAATGAATTTTCTGGATTACTGTCCTTGCTGTAACATCAGCATGTAATAAGACTTCTCTGCTGAATGACTGTGTTAGAGATATTGCATTCCAACCACGAGGAAATATAGATTTCCCCCTTGTTGGCATTCTTCCTTTCAAAAAGGTTGCTTAAAGTGGTGCTTAAAAGATAATTCTAGCTTTCTAAATTTAGGATGTGGAAAAAGTCCAAAATCAGAATATTCCATGGATAAATGAGCAAGAAATGTTAATATGTGCATCAAGGGGAGGATATCTTACACTCCGATGTTTTTTCTCTTTCTCTCCCTGTCTCTTTTTCTACCTTAATACACAACATATAATTTAGCAAGATTAAAAGTTAACTAAGAAACTGAAGACCTCTTTATCACCATTACTGCATTTTAAATATAAAATGAGGGGCTGGGAATATGGCTCAGTGGTAGAGTACATGCTTAGCATATGCAAGGCGCTGGATTCAATCCCAGCACCACCCTACACACAATTCTTATAAATAATAAAGTGATTTCATTATCTCAGTTATTCCTAAAACCACCTTGAAGTCAGAGCTACTCTTCAAAATTAATCAGCAAGTTATGTGCTTATCTTTATAGTCAAGGCAGATTTCTGGTCATCCTTAGTTCAATTACTTAAAGAGAAGCTACCTATAAAAAATAATGTAAGAAGTGTATAATCATTTGAAGCTTATTTTTTGTGTGTTTGTTGCACTGTAGATTGAACCTAGGAGCTACACTAACTACATCTTCATCCTTTTTTATTTTTTAATTTTGAGACATGGTCTTGCTAAGTTGTTGAAGTTGGCCTTGAATGTGGCATCCTCCTACCTCAGCCTCTGGAATTGCTGAGATTACAGGCGTGCTTCAAAAGCAATTTTAAGGGAAGAAAACAATTTCTAGGACGTTTGAGTTTACAATAGACTCAAGCTTACAACATAGTGCTGAAAACCACTTTCTTTTTTTGTGTGTTTTTTATGCCTTCAGATTTTAAATATTCTAATATCTTCCTCATGGTGTGTGTGTGCAGGAGATCAAACCATGACCTCTCATGTTAAATAAGTACACCAACACTGAGTACACCCCAGCCCTTCATGGGAATTTTTATATCTCTCTGTTCTTCTGCAGACATAAAATCTGAATCAAATAACCCAACAGAGAGTTAAATATTGAAGGTTGCAGAGAGAATGAGTCCCTGGCACACTGTAATCATGCTATTACATTTTGGATTTATTTTTATTTTTTTTCTGACTTATGCCCAACCCAACATCCACTAAAGACATTAGTTTTTCCCTCATATGCGCTTGGATGTAATGGCCTTCCTCACACTGTATTATTTATTTATTTGGTACAGGAGATTGAACTCGGACACTTTACCACTAAGCTACAGGGTCTTGCTAAGTTGCTAAGCCTGGCCTGGCACTTGGAATCCTCCTCCCTCAGCTTACAGTCAAGTTGCTGGAATTATAGGTGTGTGCCGCTGCTGCCAGCTTGCATCATTTCTTTTTTCTTTTACACAATATCTTTATTCATTTATTTTTATGTGGTGCTAAAGATGGAACAGGGCCTCACACATGCTAGGTGAGCGCTCTACCACTGAGCCCCAGCCCCAGCCCCATTGCATCATTTCTTTAATGCATCAAAGTCACCACAAATTCTATTCGTGTCTTTTAAGGATATCAGCTGCTCTCTTGAGACACAAAGGACATATAAAATAATAAACATTTAGAAACAGAGCTGGTCCATGTTGGGGCTTATACCATCATTTGGGTGTAAACACTTAGTCATTTGTAATTTTTTTGAACCACTCATGACAATAGTAGCCCATCAGGAGGATTTTGCAATGGTGTGGTGCCCTCCGAAATACCAGAGAATAGGTTGGGATGCAGGAAAAAAAAAATAAAGAAAGGAAGAGGGAGCTTAAAAGAACTGGAAAGAAGGGAGACAGATAAGAAAAATGTGTTGCTGAATATTGCCAATGGAGAGGTCAAGGCTGGGAAGAATTCTTGGCAGCTATCAAGGGCATCTTCTAGTGCAGTTCTTTGTTGCCTCTTCCTCTACAGAGCATAGGTCCTGGTTTCTTGTTGAGATCATCACATCAGAAAAGAACCACAAACCATACCACGGCACAAAAGTGACATCAGTTGTTTTCCTGGTCTACATAGCTGCTTATCAGAAAGGAATTAAGCAAGCATGCTTCTTTTTTTCTTTTGTTTTTAATGGGATCAATAGGAATCCAATGCTATTGTCTGGGGCACAGTAAACAGTTTAATTTTTTTTCATGAATTTGTACAAGCTTACATAATTTGACCAGTTTGTCCTTGTCTCCAATGTGAGCACATCTCTTCCTCAGAATCTGCTTATATGGCTTCAATAGAAGATTAACCTGTCAGTGAGATGGTCAGAGACCGTTAAGATGATATCCGATGCCCAAAGACAAAAGAGGGTGGTGGAATGGAAGTCAGAGGTAGGGTCTTATTGTGGGGAAAACATGACAAACTGGGGAGTTAGTAAAAATGGGAAAAGCCCTAGCAGATGTGGGGGTCAGGAGTAACAATTCATGGGAGATGGGTGAATGGGAGGGCTCAATGCTTCAAGGTACCCATTGTCCCATTGTATCACAGTCAGAGATTTTCAAATTTTGCCTAATTGGAGCTCTCAATTTCTCAACCCTACTCCAATTATCTATTCTATAAATAGTAGTCCCATATAAAGAAGTCATTCACAGTGAAGTTAAGAAAACAAACAAAACCAAATACCACCCATGGCTCTACATAATGGCAGACCGCACAGATTATTTGAGAAGTACCTGATGTTTGTATCTTCCCTGACTTCATTAGCCCAGGAAGTTACTAGTACCTGGTATTTTTTTTGAGTTTCTCCATGGAGAGCCCATCTGCTTCCAAAGCTCTGTGGAGCAGTGAAGTTGATATTGAATTTAGATACGCCCTACCCGGGTTCACATTTGGCCTTGACTCTTATTATTCGTGGAATTACAGATGAACCATTTGGCTTTCTCAGCATTCTTTCCCTCATCCAGAATCAGAGGAGTTTACCCAGAAAGGACAGCAGAGTCCTTCATGGGGGAAGAAACTTGGCAGGTTTGCCTAGAATCTTTTGACTGATCACATGGTGTTTGCCACAGGTAAAACCAGTGAAGTTGGAATCCTGGTATATGTACAATTATTGCTTAATTTCCTTCAATGGTTTACCCTTTTAAACATGTTCAGGGTGCTAATTCTTCATTAATTTGAATAGTACCAAGTATGTTGTAGTTACCTATGAAGTTGCCTTAGTGCACAGAGGAGAAAATAATAGGCTTAGCTCCTAAATGGTACTAGATATAAATCTTAGGAAGCTCACCATATCATGTCCCAGGTTCCTGGCCCCACACAGGACTTAGCTGACTGCATCCTTCCCTGCCTTAACTTCATACAAAATTGTTTGCATTCCCTGGTCCAAAATAGGCTGGTTAATTCTTGCATGACTTTGGCCATACTACTGCTTTTAGGAGACTCAGCCATCATATTCCAGCAGGCAACCTCCTGCTGTTGCTTTCACAGCAGTTGAGCTAAGGGTTTCTGTGCCATACAAGCATGTTCACCCCAAACACAGTACTCACGCTGCTTCCCCAAGGCAAGGACTGTTCTGTCTCCCAGTGCCCGGGATAGCATGTGTTCTGAAAACACTGAACTGAGTGACAAGACCACACTGATGACTATGAATTTGGGAGTTATGATTTAACCTGTGCTCAGCTGCTGCCAATTCATAGCCAATCAGCTAACAATATCCACTTTTCCTTTCTGTGTGGACATACTGCTCTGACTGAACAGAAGCAACACAGGCATTTTTCCCCTGTCCTGTTGACCTCAGGATATTAGAAAATCTCTGAAACATACATTTTAGTGCTAACATTTTCATCTTGAGTTATGCTAATACTGATTAATTCAACATTGATGAATTGTCTTGAAGAGGAAGGGGAGATGATGAGGTAGGAAAGTTGAAGCCAACCTTCTGACCACCAGTTCTCCCTCCTGATCCCAGCAGTATATCCACCAGGAGGCCGTGGCAAGAGCTGAGGGAAGGCTCTTGTTTTGCTTCAGTAATGCATTTTATTCCCTACACTAAAGCAAGCTGAAAGTGCTAAAGGAGTCCATGTCCCCATGAGGAAAGATCAGTCCCCACAAGTTTAGTGGCAGCAAATAGCAGGTGAAAGTTTTGAGGAAGAGTAGGGTCATCCCCGAGCACAAGGAGAAAGAGGGGACAAGAAAAAGTACACCCTTTGCAAGGGCAGAGGACCCCACTAACAGAGGTGGTAAGGACTCCACTAGGACTGCCAGTCCCCTCTGGACTGTCCAATGTAAATGCAAAGTGTGCCCATACCCTATATCACACAAGCACAGGGGTGCCCTTGGGGCCTGTCACTTTCTGTATGGGCCTCTCTTGTACAGATGACTCACCAGCACAACATATTTTGCTCAACAAATACTTAGCCTGTGCTCAGCACCCTGGGCTTTCTCCCTGGATGGCCATGGACATCGCCCTTTTTCACTGAGCAGAGGGCAGCCAGGGCCCACATGCTTCATGTGTAAGATTGCATGGAAAATTGTTCCTGACATTCTCAGTCCACCTAACACACCCTGTTATTCAGAACCCTCTTGGGACATGGTGCAAGATCTGAGTGCACACAGTACCATAAAACATTACCATGCCATTCTTCTAGATGTCATATAAGAGGCTAGGTTGTTCCAGCAAGTGGGTGTGTGTCTGATTTTGGTAGGAGGAAGTAGGATGAGGCAGTGAAAGAGCTTTGTTCCCTCTATCAGCAGAGAGCCCCACAGGTTCGGGCTATAACCACAGGCAAAGGTTGGTTAGAGAAACTTGTTATTAAATTTAATTTTCTTTAAATACATAACTTTTTCCCTCCCGAGCCCACTCTAGGGAGGCACAGAAGCCTTTCCCACCCCTGAATTGCGGGGATCCCATATGTAAAGCCTGAGATGGTGAGGATGAAGTATAAAAATACTATTTACAAAGGGGAAGCAGGTATCTTGCTGCTGTAACCTCCAGATGCCCCTGTCCCCAGACCCCTTTTGTTCCTTTAGAAAAAACCTCTGAGAATCAGGCTGTGTATAGGACAAACCCTTCCTCTAGAGAGGCTTTCACACCACAACAAGAAATAGGAAGCTCTGAGATTAACTGAGGAAGAGGGAGAGAACAGATAGATAGCACCTCAGATCCTAGCAGGGGAAGGGATCAGTGCCCCTGTCCCCTGTAGTCAGCTAGCCAGCCAGCCAGCCTTTATTTCAATAGGTTCCATGTAAACATTGACTTATTCCTTTTATAGGTCCCTGCTCTCCCCTGTTTCATGCAGAGCCTCCCTCACCTCCAGTGAAAGTACTTGGTTCTTTGATCTTTCCTTCCTTCCCTTCTAACCTCCTATGAGGAGCGGGGATGAGACACTGGAGGTGTGACAAGAGTCAGCTCATTGCTCCTAAGTCAGGGAAGCTTGCCTTCCATGGAGAACCTTCAAATAGGGTGCTCCATGTTCACAGCCAGATAAAGATGGATTTCTTCCCAGAGCATGGACAAGGTAAATAGATAGTCCAGTGCCAGGATATAGAGGTCTGGCTGGTTGAGGCCATCAGTACTGAGTAATAGGGAAGGAGACTTCAGGAGGCAGAGAGGTGAAGCAAGGCTGGCACTGGTCTCACCCTGCTGGGGGAAGACCAGCCCCGTGCCGTTCTCCCTTTTAGGTAAGCGTGACCATCATCATCCAAGACTTGTTCATTGTAGCTGTGCAAGAGAGACCAGGTGCCCACATGGTAAGAAGTCTTCTCCAGGTCTTGGTGTAGAGGCAGCCCTCACACCAGCTCATCCAGTAGGATCCCGATGCTCTGAGTGGCCTCTGCAGGCCCAGCGATGGGCTTGTTGCACATGGGGCAGACACAGCGCACTTCCAGCCATTTCACTAGGCACCTGTGAACGACAGAATTGTTATTTCTAAGAAGATCCTTCAGACTGCTCCAGCTGCTTCTCAGTCCCACTGCTTCTTGAAGAACATCCCTGTGCCTGCCACAACCTAACACTTCTGGCTTTTCTGGTGTTCAGACAAGACCAAATTTAGGGCATCATTGGTAAGGGGAAGATGGGAGGTGGCAAGGAGTGAAAGGTTCTAGAAAATGCTCCCTGATTATTTCTTCTCCACAGGGCAATCCTGGCCATAACCCCACATACTTGCGGTGAAAGGCATGTTGGCATGGGAGCACGCCCAACTCGTCCTTCCCCTTGAAGTCTTCCAGACAGACTGCACAGGTCTGCTGCAGGGAGAAAGGGGGCGTGTGAGAGGAGATTGCAGAAGCACTTTACTCACCCATCCCGGAGGTCTTCGTCTCATCCACAGCCAAATAAACTCCATTCTAGCCCTTTGTCAACCCTTTATTCTCCTTTGTCAACCCGAGAACAAATTTGTTCTCACCGAGAAACGAGCTCTATTTTATAAAACTCTATTGACAGAATTGGTAGCCATTAACCCCATGTGGCAGCTTAAATTGAAACTAATCAAGATAAGACAAAAATTACAATTTAGTTTATCAGTTACAGTAGCCACACTTTTTCGATTATTATAAAAGTTTATTTAATCCAGAGTTTAATATGAATAATGTGGGTTGAAGGCATATATCAGTGGTAGAGTACTTGTTTAGCATGTGCAAGGCCCTAAGTTTGATCCCAGAAACACGAAACAAACAAAAAAAGAAAAAAAATATATAAGATCCAATTTTCCCAAGTTTTATGTCATAAGTTAAAACAGGTCTTTTGGAGAAGGGACAGAGATTTCTCTGCTGGACAGACATTATTTATACTCATGCCAAGATTTCTAAGTATGATACTATTTCCTCATGTTAGCATGATTCCAGTATTGTTCCACAGCCTCTAGCTGCCCTCTCTACACAGTTATCTATCACATGATTTATAGAGACCAAATCCTTGCAGCATTCCTTGAACATGTCTGCCACCATGTATAGATTTTTTCAACTCAGGAAAGTGTGGTCTACTTGGCTGACTCAAAGCTGCTTTGAAACAGAATTCGCATCCTCCCTCGTGCTCCACTAGTAGACAGCGCCATTTCAAATGCTTAGTAGCTACATGTGGCTAATGATTCCCATACTGGACAGGACAGATATAAAACATTTCTGTTATCATGTAAGTTTCCACTGGACAGTGATGTACTGGGAGAATAGTTTTAAATCCTCTCTAGCATATACATGGAACAAGGAGGATAATAGTAAAAGTAAATAAAGGGATGGGGTGGATGTAGTCAGTTACATTCTTTTGAGATTTAAGTCCTTAGGTATCAGCCTCCATGATCTCAGTTGAATTATTCTTTTAAGAAGGCTTAGAAACCACTTGAACTTTCCTGGGTGTCACAGCAGACATCAAAAATAAAAATGCAATGAGGCCATGTCTGGGCAGTCTCATGTTTGGTGATGCTGGCATCCTCCCCACTCCCAAACAACCACAGACTCTCTCTGATTAGGAGTGTCTGTGGTTACCGAGGAAAGCCTTGGAAAATGGATTAAGTGACCTCAAAGGCATAGGTGGGAAAGGATCAGGAAATGGCCAATTAAGGGTCAGATTTGAGGGGAGCCAAAGAATTGGTATGTGTGCGGGGATCCGGGAAATGGAGGAGAAACAGGGAGGAGCCACTGGGATGGATTCACAGATCAGAGGTTAGGACAGGGTCTATACACTGGTAAACGTGGGAAAGTTAGCTGAAATTTTCCTATGGTGTGAAGCACTGTGATCAGCCTTCCCTTGAAGATTATGCATGGCAGGATTCCTGGGGCCATGGTGTCACTACTAACCCAAATCCTTGTGTGAATCCCCCCTGCTCTTTGTTTCCCCTGCATAAGCTGTTCTAGCCATAATAAATTCCATATATTGATTACCTGCTGGCATGAGTCCCTTTTATTTGGCCAAAGCAAATACAAAAACAGAGACTAAAAACATTCTCAAAAAGATCCTGGCAGCGAGCTGGAGAAAGGTGCTGTCTGCCTTACCTGCTGGGGCCCTCCTGCATACCGTCCCAGGACACTTACCCCATAGAGCTGCAACTTCTTGGCATCACCTTTAAGCACCACCTGGAAGAAGATGGGGAAAGATGTCTGAAGGAACCAGCACAGGGTCTGCAGGATGGGCCAGTGAAGGGAGTCCCCTGTCTTTCATGGGGTGTCTCCCTGATTCCCATGGAGGAGGAGGGCTCTGGACAGTCTGGGGCAAGCCTGACTTGAGGACAGTGAAAGGAGCTAGTCTCAGGGAGGCCCAGAGCTGAGGCCAAGGGGGTACAGATGAGGGGAACTTGGGTTCCTGCCTTCTCGAGGAGGAAATGGCAGGCAAAGAGGTGGCATTTACCTCCTTATAGCCATATCGTTCGCTCTGTGCCTGGTTCCGGAGTTTGCTGGGGGAAAAAGAAAAAGAGATGATTACTATGTTTTTGCATAAACAGAGCAATCACAGCAGGCCAGGCTGGCTGGCTACTTGGGCATTCTTCTGGGAGTGAGGAGAGATGGTTGTCCTCTAGATGCCAGGGAATATGGTTCTGATCCATCCAGGCCACCCAGAATTGACCAAAGACTAAGCCTCTTATTGATTCTCAGCAGATCCCATACATAGCTTGGGAGACTCTCAGGCAGAACACCCCATTGTAGCTCAATGACTCTCCCCGCCCTTTCCCAGCAGGTAAATTCTTCAGATATCCAAACAATAGAGATTAACAATGTGCTTTCCAACTGTAGAGAAGGAGTTAGATATTCTTAGAAGGGATCCTTCCATCAAGCCAGGGTAGCGGGATAATAAGTTTCTTTTGACCTAGGGGAATTTTCCACTTGGAGAACTCAAGTATCCCAGAACCAAAGCACACTCTTCCCTTCAAGTGCCAAACAAACAGTCCAGGCGATGCCTTCTTTGTTTTTGCCTCTTCATTGTAAGCTGGTGGCCTGCAAACAGCCTACCTCCCCGTAGCCAAAACACGGCATGTTGTTACTAATAGCAATGGCATAATAGTTAATGGGGTATGTGCTACATGTTGCTCGGACACTGACCTAGTCAAATTTGTTCTCACTGAGTCCAAGTAACTCTAAAAGGGGAGAAACTTTCCTTTTTATACATGAGGAAAATGAAACCCTAAGAAGCTAAGAAATTTGCCCAAACTCCACAGAGCTACTTGGCAGCTGTGTCCGGTTGAATCAAACTCCAAGTGATTATAGAGCTCATTCTCTTTACTACAGAATATGACCTGTCCCCCTAATCAGGATGTATACATCGTAGTCCTGAGAATGTGATATGATCTTGGGACACACCTTTACATCTCATGAAGTCTAAGACTCTCTGAATGGCTTACTATGCAAATGGCTGGGACCATAATTATGCACAAATTTGTGCTGCTTTACTTTTCATGGGGAAAACTTACTCTGACAGCAGGTACCTTTAGATGGCCTCCTATGCCTGGGCTATAACAGAACCTGACGGGGTGTTCACGAGTGCTTTTTCTCTCTCATTATTATTTTTTTTCTTTTTTGGTGCTGGAGATTGAGCCTTGCCACATGCTAAGCACATGTGCTTTACCACTTGGCTATGCTCCCAACCCTCACTGATTATTTCTAACCCTGGCCTGGGTTACTGGAAGCAAACATCAGAAACTCACCAAATTATAGTAGGGACGATCTAAGGGGCAAATTTACCTCATTCCCATTCTTTTACAGAACCCAGAAGTTAAGAATAGGCTTTATAGTTCAATGCATGAAAATAGAAGTAAAAGGACCTGAGGGTATAGCTCAGTGGTAGAGTGCTTGCCTAGCATGCGCAAGACCCTACACTTAATGCCAGTTCCAGAAAAAAAAGAATATAGAAGAAGAATATCTCATAAAAACAAACTAGTAATAAAAAAAATAATTTTATCTCTTGACATAAAAGATACATGAAATTCAGGGTTGGGGATGTGGCTCAGTGGTAGAGCACTTGCCTAGCGCGTGTGAGGCCCTGGATTCCATCCCTAGTGCCTCATAAAAACATATACATGAAATTCAAATTTCAGTGTCCAATTAAATGGTACCAGCACACTGACATGCTCAGTTCATTTATCGGCTGCTTTGGCATGTAAACAGAGGAGCCGGGTGGTTATGATAGAAACCCCATGAACCACAAAGCCTAAAATATCTACTATCTGATTTTGTATAGAAAAAAAGATTGCTGACCCAAGTTAGAAACAGAGAACCATGAATCATGGAGAGGTTCAGTCACAGCAGGTGTGAAGTTGACCCACAGGCTTTAGAGAGCCTGCTGTCAGGGTGGTGCAGAAGGTGCTATAGTGGAGAGAAGGTGCAGGCGGAGCTATAGCTTAGACACAGTGTAGGTCAGATAAGGGGCTGCCAGCCTCTTCCATCCTTCCTGACAGGAAATTACATGACCCAGCAAGGTCATATGTTCCTGGAGCCTCTGGAGATGTCAAGTTCAAGTGGACTTCTGCCAAGGGCTTGGGGCTGGGGCAGCCTTCTTCCCCTTCTTTCCACTATGGTCCAGAAAATATATTCATACATAATGCACATGTCTCTCTTCTCAACTTCCACATCAGAGGGGCAGAGAAGATGCATCCAAAGCTTAAGTGAGCTAATCTGTTATCTGACAGTGAGTTAAGTGGAGGAAAGGTGAATGTGTTCTCATCATCAGGGAGCTCATAGCCAGTCTGAGGGAAGACACTGTTGTTCCATTACCAGCTATGTGCAGAGCACATAAGGAAGTGGTGAAGAGCCTGTGTGATGGTTTTGTTTTGCTTTGTAGTGCTAAGGATCAAACCAGGAGCCTCAAATGTGCTGGACAAGCACTCTACTGAGAAACTACAAAACTAGCCCCAAGCCTGTGTTTTTAACTTTCTGGGGGAAAGAGGGATGCCATGCCTCTTTTGAGACTCAGATACCTCCCCTGCCATCCGGTTGAACCTTGGTGCCTAAGGTATCCTCCCTTTCCCTCACCTGTCTCATCTAGCTAGTTCTCTGTGATGATCGTACTCAGAGATCTTCCAGAACCCTCAGGATGGAGAAGGGCTTCACAGTTACACCTTTATCTTGTATAAAGATTTCAGCTCAGGAAGGATTAGATTGTGATGAAACTGAGGCTCCAAAAGGTTGCAAGGAAAACAGAGCAAAAAGAAAAGAGCTCGGGCCATCCCAGCTGGGGATGGACAGGTGGCCTTCTCAGCTGTTGGCTGAGCAAAGCAACTAAAAATACCCGGGATTCAATAAGACCATCCCTAGCTACTGCCAGCAGGCTCTCCTTTCCTCTCTTCCCTTTTAGAAGAAACAATGAAGCCAGGTCCTGAAAATAATTGTTCCTTTCCTGCCCATTTGTACTGCACTGGCCCCTCCATCCTGTGCAGGGCAGAGGTCAGCACTGAGGGGGAAAAGGAGCACTGGGCAGCAGGGGAGCAGAGGCTGGCTTTGGCTGATGAGCTCACCAGGTCAGGAGCAGTGGTCATGGTCCTATTTTGGCCTAGGAGGAAACGAAGAAGCAGAGAGAGGAAGTGGCTTCTATGCTTGGGCGTCTTTCTATATATAGGTACACATAGCACATACCAGTGGGCCTCTGAAGCCATGAAACTCCAGGGTCAACTGGCTTTGGGCGGGCTGCAGGACAGGGTGATAAAGGAGCAGATTACTGCAGAAGGGACAGGTGGCCCAGAGCTGCCCCACAGTGGGACAGCTTTTAGTATCATATGGTTACTGCTCTGTTCTTTTACGGCAGCCAAAGAGAAACAAATCAGTGACACATGGTTCCCTCGCCTGTGCTTCTTTCTCTAGGACTCCAATGCCCAGCTGGAAGTGGGTACAAATAATGGCACAGAAGTTCCTCCACTTCCCATGAAAGGAATTAGACTCCTGGAGAGCACAGCTATAGAAGGAATCTAACAGATCAACCAATTGTTACCATGCTAGCCCACCAGTAGCATCTCCCTTGATGTGTGACCTTGGGCAAGTCCTTAACTGAGCATGAATGTCTTCATTTATACATGAGCTAATAACTAAACCTGTTCAGAAAAGACTGTTCAGAAAAGCTGATGTGTTTGTGCATGTAGAAAGGGTCCAAGTAGAGTTGGTTTTATGGACTCCTTTCAGTTTCATCCTAAATAAGTATTTGTATTTGATATGTATTCATATCAAATACTTATTAGTACTTAGCTTTTGAGGAAATGGAATGGCTCGATACAGGGGTTCATAGGAATAAGTTGGTAGATAGACAAGTTTGAGGGAGAAAACTTAGGGTTCAGGAAAATGGAGAAGAATGGAGGGAGGAAAAGATACTATAAGTCTTTTCTTACCCCCAATTAATACTGAAGTGCAAATTTAACACTCAACTGTACAAGAGGGAAAATAAACCATTATTTTCTTTGCATAGACTTAAGTGGAAAAGTCTAGTCCTGGGGACCTGTTTTGAAAAGTTCTGAAAAATAGCCCCAAGGGAGCCAATTGGAACTTTGGAGAAATGCCTGAGGGGATATCCATGTCCCCTTCCTTGAGGTATACCGACAAGTGTCTGCCACTCCCTGCTAGCTGCCTTCCAGTTGAAGGATGCACCCAGCAGGGCATCTTAGTGGGGAGTCAGTGCTCCTTGTCCTTAATCTCCTTAAATAATTTAATCAGATACTGGCCTAGACCCCAGCTGACATCTACCGAGGCATTTGGTAATATGTGTGGTAGGAGAGGCGTCAGTTGTCACATGTTTTATTGGCCAGGGATGTCCAACCCTCTCCAATGTACAGGACAGTCCCATATAGTCAGAAATATTACTACCCTGATTTCCACTCTGAATGTCAAAGTGCTCCAAGTTTTTCCTTTAGAAAATAGCTACCAGTTCCCAGGTCCTTCAACAGCAGGAAAAAAAACGGTTCCAGGAGCTTGGTTACCCCTGCCAACCTCAAGTCCCTCCCTGGATCCCCAAGCAATTAAGAATAAATGACATTTTTCATTCCCCCCTCCCCCACTTCTCCAAAATAAAAGCTTCCAAGACAGAATCAACATATAGCTCTCCAGACATCAGCTTGCTAATATCAACATGAGGAACTGACAACAAGATTTCTCAGGAGGGCAGAGAAACATGCCTCTGGTATCATGGATATCCTGGCATCCTAGAGGGCATAAGTGTGGAGGAAAGAAGGATACTTAGGGACCACCAACTATACTATACAGCTGGATAGTAATTCTAGGCAACCGTCCAACAATTGGCCCAGAGATGGGATACAATCCAACCCTTGGTGACCTTATGTGCTCTGGGACAACTTGATAGGCTGATATAAATAGAAACAGCAGGCCTCAGGGGCCCAGAGAGGAGCAGGCTTAGCCATGTTCTCCTAGCAGTGGCTCCAGCCTGAGATTAGTGACTCTAACTTGGTTTCCTCCCTCCTTGAATTCCCTCCCTAAGTAAGCCAGTGACCCACCTACCTGATAAAATAGCAGCAGAAAATGAGGCTGAGCATGAAGACAAAGATGCCCGTGCCGAAGATGACCATATAGATGTTGAGAGGAAGGTCTTGGAAACTGATGGGTGGCATTGAGCAGGACTTGTTAGTGCTAACCAGTCCCAGGCCACAAAAACACCCTGCAAAAAAAGAAGAAGAAAAATAATATTAGACTTGGAAATTTATCCCTGAGGGTGATGGCACACTGTGTCAGCTGGAATGCAAAGAACAATGGCAGGCTAAGGCTCCTAAACCTCTGATTCTTTGGCTTGAGCTAATATCACAGCTCTAACTCTTACTAGGTTTTTATGATCTTGGGTAAATTATTTAACCAATATGTGAAATGGAATTCCATTCAAGGTACCTATAGGGATCAAGGATTTAGATCAAGGAGAAAATGGAAAACCCAGTTCCATCATGTAGAAGCTCATAGACTGAAGAAGGGTCATAGGTGAGAAAACGAATTACCTGGGTTCTAACCCAACTCTCCCTAGCTAGCTGCACGACCTTTAAGAAGCCTACCTCTCTAAGCTTCACATGTCATCTAAAAAGCAGCAAAATATAGAGTGGACTTAAAATGACAGTATAAGAAATAGACTTCATAAATTGCAAAGTGCAATTGCAAAGGTCATTTGTCATTATTAAGCCACCTGCTCCAGAAGACAAGCTGTGCCAGGACTAGAATAGAAATTGTTCACTCCAAGTCCAGGCCAGTGTTCCAGAAAGTGGAGATGAGGTTGGGGGTGGGGAGTTGCAGCTTCCCTTACTCCGTCCTTTGTACTCAGTCTCATGGTACAGTTCCACTATGGAGATGGTACACCCTGGAAACTTGTTAGATGTGCAGAATCTTGGGCCCAGCCCAGGCTAAAAGAACTAGAATCAACATTTTCACAAGAGACTCAGGTAACTCTTCCGAACAGTTTGTCTGAGAAGCACTAAGTTAGTTACTCTGCTTCCCTTTTCACGTGGCTCAGAGATACGTCTTGATTGGCTTTCCCACTGTGGCAGTCATTTCCCTCTAGCTAGTATTTGGTGTTGACATGGGTATGTGAGCAGGTTCTGGGCAAAGGCACAAAGTTCTGCTGGGAAAGAAAAGCTTCTCTTTCTGTCATGTCTCCCTGGGCACCTAGAAGGGTAGGAGCCAGCTTGTAGCTGGAAAGAGAACTGATAGAAAGTTGATGGCTTAGAACAGCAGTAGGAAGGGAAAGGGGAGAATTCTTCAGTAACAAAACTTGGGACTGCTGTTTCCCAATTCCCGACTGCATTCTCATGATACCAATTTAAATTTATTTATTTTTTTAAACAATTGGGGTCTTACTATGTTGCCCAGGTTGGCCTGGAACTCCTGGACTCAAGTGATGCTTCTGGAGACTACAGGGGTACACCACTATATGTGGCTTCCAGTTTCATCACTGGAATGCCACAGTAAAATGTCACTTTCCCCACCAATGCGGAAAAAAAAAAACCAACTTAATCATTAAATAATCTCCCTAAAGTAAACAGCTAAGGAGCCCTAGCTCCCAAAGTCTCTATGCTCTTGGGTTCTAGGCATAGAAGCTTTAAGTTAGGAGTCAGGAATTGATAGTATGCTGTAGAATTAGATAAATACTAGTGCTAATACCACTCAGCAGAAGGTTGATTCCAAAGACTGGAAGTCAACTCTGACATGGTATATTTCATTCCTTTTCATCACCTTTATCCAAATCTCTTTCAGAGTGTGCTGCTTCCTATTGCACATCTCTATTCCAAATACTCATTACTGACTAGTTGTCTCTTAATTGCTGTCATTGCTGTTTCCAGTTTCATCTCGTCTAATTTTCCCCACATGTCTACCACATCCTCTCATTCCATTTATCGTGTACTTTCCAAATGCATGTCTGATTTCAAGTCCTCTTAAACACGTCCCCTGTCCCTTTGCAATTCCCCAGTGTTTTCAACACTTCCACATATGACCATTCTCCTCACATTTTCTTGCCCAATCTTGTCCTCATCTGCATCTATACCTTCATTCATGCAGTCTTTTCTGCCTAGAACTCCCTCCTTCTTTCTAAAGTTCACCACCTGTTCTTTGTAATATTCCAAAGAGCTGTGTTGTTCTGAATTCTACAGTGCTCACAACCTGCATGGCTTATTCTGGCCCTTGCTCATTCAGTGTTTTATATACTCACTTGTTTCTAGCATCAACTTAATTTAAGTATGCATTGAGCATTGATTATATAAGCACTAAGATAGTAAGGGCAAAGAAGAGTGGAAGAATCATCAGACGATCTTACTCTATAGAAAAGCAGAGACACAAAGATTTTCATGGCATAAAGTTAGGTTTCACAGCAGAGGTGGGTCTAAGACTGAGAACCAAGACTAAGAGTCACCGAGAGTATAGTCCTAACAAGCCCAAATACTCCAAGTCTGAGGACATCAACATGAACTTTCATATATTTTCCAGTGCCTAGCCTAGTGTTTGGCTTGTCTTGATAACTAGTTAATAGATAAATAACTCCCTGCTTTTTCAAAACAACCTGGTCCCCTTGGCAAAGCTCCTACTTGAAAGTAAGAAGATTGATGTTTGGGAAAACTGCCCAGAAAGTGCCCTCAGCCAATAAATCACCAGTCAACCAACAAGTATTGTTAAAGGCCTGCTTTATGCCCTGACCTAGACATTGTTTGAAAACAGAAAGCAAAAGAAGTTCTTGTTCTGAAGGACTCTTTAATTAAGAGGAAATTAAGGAAATAATTAGCTATTAAGCTTTGCTGTGTTCATTAGAAAGCCCCTTGCTTTTAGACTGCATGGAAGATTAGAAACTAAGACACTTTCACCACCCTTTCCCACTAAAATATTTGCTCTCCATGGGCTAAAGGATATCAGTTTTCTATGAGGAGATCATGCTAGACTGGCCTGAGAAAGCCAACCTTCAATCTATACTGGCAAAGGGCCTCAGGACTTCCCTTCCAAAAAACTATATCTTCTTTTCAATGCTAATGTGGTGTTCTGCCCCACCCCAGTCTCTCACTTCTTAAGGTAGGAGTGGCAGTCTTTGTGCCATTTCAATGACCCTTCTCTTTCTTTATTCTCACAACCTGTACCATTTGCTCTGGCCTCAGCCATATCTGATGCTAATAAGCTGTCTTAACTTACCCTCCCTCCATATGCATTGGCTCTTCTGTGTTATCTTTCATGAGCTGAATCCTGGTATCTTTTGGGTCCCAAAGAACCTAATTTTGTTTCCTGCTCTGGGGACTTGCAAAGCTGTGGTAGCAACCATTGCAGAGAGTATACACAGGTACCCTGGAGGCACTGTGGCCCCAGCAGTCCTCTAATCAGTTTATCTCTTCCATCTTTTCCTGTCTCATAAAGGCTTTCCCTGGGGCTCCAGGACTAGGTTAGTGCAAGAAACTTGCAAAGAACAGAGATTGCTAGTCCCAGGTAATAGGAGCTCCAGCTGTTTTCCTTAGGGGTAGGGAAGGCTGTTGCTTCCTCACTGGAGTCAAAGGACAGTATTAGTCAGCCACTTTAAGAAGTGAAAGATATGGGCTGGAGTGCAGTTCAAGGGTAGAGCTGTGCTTAGCATGAGCATCAGTCTTAGGTTTAATACTCAGCAAGACAGGGCGGAAAGTATGAAAGGTTAAGCAAGACCTAAAATCGCATTTGAAAGGTAGCAGTCCAGAAGAAAGACCAGTGTTAACCACAGCCCCTTAGTTCTAAGTCTCTGTTCCATTGTTTCCGCCAACCTATGAAAGCCTTGACATCAGAATGTCTCATCTCAACTGGCAGGCTGAGAGCAAGAATGACGTCAGAGAAGGGCTGGCCAAGAAAGACCAGGGGATCTGGGAACTGCTTCTCCTTCCCAGCCAACGGGAATCTTTCCCAGATGCTGGGATGCACCGTCCTTCCTCAACCCCCATCCTCCGCCCCCTCTCCCACATTACCCGCCTATCACACACGGCTTGGTTCATTTTCAGGAAATTAGATCCGACTAGCAAAAGGAGGAAGAAGGGGGATGGGGGACACTCATACACATGCTGCCCAAACCCGGCCTTAAAACAAAAGCCTGTTGAAATAATTAATCCAAGATCTGGCAGGAGTCTACTCTCTAGAATGGATCTTTTCCCCCTCCTAACTAGCCAGGCTGCCACACTCAAAATAAGGCCAGCTGCTTCCCACCTCCTTCTAGACTCCCGCTACCCCCACTCCCAGCGTCTGAAAAACGCGGTCAAGATTCTAGGACCACTGGGGGAAGGGTGGGTGAATATTGGTATTTAAAAGTGATTTGCTCAGAAGTATTCCTTTCGTGCAGTTTCAGTGAGAAATTCAGACCCAAACCTAATCCGTATCACCTGAACCGCCAAAAAGTCTCAGGTGAGATGAACTAACTCAGCAGCCTCAACCAGGCCTGGACTGGGGGATGATGGGTGGGGGGGCTGGGTCTGGAGGTGAGGTCACCACGCAGGCTCGGGAACAGACCGCATAGCCTGGCCTTGGGGCCAGAAAGCAGAGCTCCTGCTAGGCCAACCTCCTACCACAGGAATAGCTGGGAGCGGAGGTATCTGCAAGACTTTATTCATTCAGTAAAGCCAGACTCTAATCCATCGTCTTCCACCGGCGGAGTCCTACTAGCTGCCAGTGGGAACCCAACAAAGAGAGAGGAAGTCACCCCCGCGCCTTGTCCCGCACGCTGCACTGTATACATATTTAAAATAGCCTGCAAAGTTTCAGACCGGGAACTTGAGCTCCCTCTAGGAGAACCTAGCCCGAGCGTGGATTTAATTCTCCAACCACCACAACAAAGAACAGAGTTTGAGCGCACAAAGGCAGGGGAAGGGGGTAGAAAAGCCGAATCGCCACACAAAGGCTGGGAACCACTTGGCTCCCACGCCCCTGGCCTGCCACACTTTCAGAGACCCCTTCCAAGCCCTCGCGTTAAAACTGGATTGTTTCAAATTCCGCGCTGTGCACCGCAGAGTTGGACACCAGGTCGTCTTCTTCGCCGTCCCATTGAATGAAAAACTTAACTCGAGAGCTAAGACGAACCCATCAGACGTTAAACCTTGCGCCCCCTTGGCGTCTGCGGCCAGTCCAGAGTCCGCTCGCCTTCCCGCCCCGAGACTCACCGTTACACCACTGGAATGGGTGCATCAATGAAGTCTGGGCGGGCCTTCTCGGGCGAACGAACGCAGGCGGAGGGGAGGGCAGGCGGGTAGGGCGCAGTGCCTAGCGGGTCCGCAGGAGTGGCCGGTGCAGTGTGCAGCAGCCGCTTTTCTCGAAAAGTCCAACTCCCTCCGGAGTGTGGGGATGCACTAAGGACGGTTTTCAGAGCAACAAAGAGGAAAGAGGAGGAAACAAACAGAAACTCTCCCGGAGCAGAAGCACAGAGGAAATGCACGAAGGGCTTCGGGTTGCGGGAGATGCGGAGCGATGCAGAGCCAGGAGGGAGTGCCCAGACGGCAGCAACTCCCAGCTAGTAGAAGCAAAGGCTTTAGCGGGAAGCTAGGCTCGAGTCCCACCGCGCGAAGGAGAACCAACTGGAATTCCGAAACTGACACCCGGCTACTCACACCCCCTGCCTAATACTGCCCCCTCCCCCCAGCAAACCCCGCCCCCTCTTCGTCACCTTCCCTCCGGCCAATGAGAGACTTCCTCCTGCCCCCGGGTATTATTTGCAGGCCCGGCCCTTTCCCCTGAAGCTAGGGCAGCATCTTTTCAAGGTGGGTGTCTGCCGGCCCCACCTTGCCAGACCTCCGTGAGACTCCCGTCCTAACACTAGTGAGCTGCTCAGTGCGTCGCCGGAGGGGGCCGGCTTCCTCAGTGTTGGACCTGGAGGAAAAACTGAACAATTAGTGCCACGTTGTTTTCCGCCTCCAGATCTGTTACTATTTAGCATTTCTATAGCTGTTTGAGAAGCTAATCCTGGGGAATAGCTCTACTTAAGCTCCTTGGGTTTGGACCTGGTCTTAGGTGGCAGAAAGCACAGTCCTATGTTCCCTTCAAAAAGGGACAAATGAGGGAAGAGGGTAAAGCAGACGGATACCACTGAGATTTGGAAAGGGCTTTCGTTGTCATCCTACTTTTTGGCCAGCGCCTCATTTTACAAACAAGGAATCAAGGCCCGAACCTTAAGGCAGATGACTTGGCAGGGTTGCACTCTCCTGATTAGCAGAATCAAAACCAGAAACTGGCACCGTCGATGTCTTAAGGACAGGAATCCCCAGCTTCTAGCGCCCTATAGGTGTTGAATGAACAGTAGTTGACAGACGGAGTCTCTCAGTTCTCCATCCACTATTCTTTCTGACGCTGCATCATTTCTTGCTGGTTTTGTCTGTCTTTCCACTTTTCATTTTTCAAAGAAAGTATTCGCCGCGAGCCTACTGTATGCCAAGCACCATTGGCACAAGAGCACCATCAATGTTGTCAGAGACAGCAGATTTCTGCTCTCCTGGGGCTTACAATGCAAGTAAGGGGACAACAAGCAAGCAAGCAAGCAAACAAACAAGAATGTCTTTATCTTCCTGTGAAATCTCCCTATCCAGTCTGTTAATTGGAGATGAATACTTTATCTAACTCCTGGGAATTCCTGACTCCCAAATAAGCTTAGGCATATGAATGCTTTGTCACTTCAAAGTATGATCCTTAAGGTATCAAATGTCTTTACCAACATCACAGATCAGTCTGGAACAAATAGTTTTCCCTTTCCATCTGTGGGGGATCAGTTTCAAGACTCCCAAGTATACAAAAATCTTTAGATGCTCAAATTCCCTAGATAAATTGCTGTGCTATTTGCACATAAGCTGTGCACAAATTCCCCTATATTTTAAATCATCCCTCTAATATTTGCATAAGATATGGAAGATTGCTTAATGGACATAAAACACTTGTTTTTCCTTAGGAGCTAGTCTGGAGGAGCATCATGTACTGATGTAACTCATTTCATTTCTTTTTATTTATTTATTTATTTATTTATTTAGTTTTTCGGCGGACATAACATCTTTGTTTGTATGTGGTGCTGAGGATTGAACCCGGGCCGCACGCATGCCAGGTGAGCACACTACCGCTTGAGCCACATCCCCAGGCCCTCATTTCATTTCTTAATAGGGCAATTGCAAAAGCTTCCTAACCGATCTCTCTCATTCTAGTTCTAGTCTCTGACTTTGGAGCCCATAAGAATCACTTATGGTAGACGTGTAACATTTATAGATTCCCAGGCCTTGAGTCCAGAAATTTTGTCTCAGTAAAGAGTGGGTCCCAGAAATCTTCATTTTGATATACTTTCCCCCCAGAATTTTCACACAGCTATTGAGAGAAATAATGCTCTTATTATATATTCTCGAATCCATTCTTTCCAGAGTTTTTCTAAAATGTATTTCCTTTGCTTAATAACTTTTACCCGTCTCTGGTGTTTTTGAAATACAGCCTGGCATTCAAAACATTTCAGTCTAGTCTTTGCCTGTCTTCCCAATACTCTTCTCCCCATGCACTATTCATCAGTTTTGAAGCTTTTTGTTATTATTGTTCCTTGTACATAGTATTATTTTTTCCTGACTGTGATTTTATACATGATATTGCTTCTGTTTGGAATTTTCCTTCTGTGCCTGACAAACACATTAAGATTCAGCTAAAACTTCAAGTTTTCTGTGGTCTGCTATTTTCCCTTTCCGAATCTGTTTTAATACTTCACATATATAACGTAATGTGCTATAAGTTTATAAAGTTGAGTATGTGATTTCCGGAGTTTGATTTCTCTATGAGCCTGCCTCAAGAAATTTTTCAAGGGCACAGACCACTTTCTTGGTTCTAGTATCTGGTTTAGTAAATGCTTATAATTTGTGCATACATATAAGTAACCATGTAATTTAAGCCAGGTTGTTGATGCAGCCTAGAGGTTTAAAAACTGTGTAGAGCCAGGCCTCATGGTATGTGATCTAATTGCAAGTTCAAGGCCAGCCTGGCAACTTAGCAAGACCCCGTCTCAAAATAAAATAAAAAGGGATGGGGGTATAGCTGAGTGGTAGAGTGCTTCCCTAGTATGTGGGAGGCCCTGGGATCCATCCTTAACAGAAAGAGAGACAGAGAGGGGGCAGGGAGGGAAGGAGGTGGGGGGGGGGAGAGGGAGGGAGGGAGGGAGAGGGAGAGGGAGAAGAGAAAAGGAAAAGAAAGGAAAGGAAAAAAATCTGTATTGTTTTATTCCAATGATATGATGTTCTGGAAAAGGCAAAACTATAGAGAAAGTAAAAATCTCAGGGGTGTTCAGGGGTTGGTGGGAAGAAATGATTAGGTGGAAATTGGAAGATTTAAAAGTTAGCAAAATACTCTGTATGATATTATGATGGGATTACATGTCATTATGCATTTTTCCAAACCAATGAAATGTACAACACCACAAGAATGGGCGCTAATGTAAAATATGGATTTTGGGTGATACCGATGTGTCAATGTAGGTTCATCAGTGGTAACAAATATACCACAATGTGAAGGGTCCTAATGATGGGTAAATTGTACATATGTGGGGACAGGAGGTGTATGGGAATTCTCTGTAATTTTCCCTCAATTTTGCCGTGAACATAAAACTGCATGAAAAAAAATGAAGTTTATTAAAAACTCAAATGTGTGTAATGTTTACTTCTATGATTTTTTTCCTCTTCATTGCCTCAGGGTGAAGTGAAATAGGTTATTCAAATTTTGTTAAGACTTTCTGCTAGGTACTCCTAGCACAAAACTGTGAAAGAGGAAGAGCCTTTGAAGAGAAAATTGACAGGAAATGAGGAAGACCTTTCTATCCCACTCCCTTTTAGAATGAAAAGAGGCTCTGTGGGAAAACACCTTGGAGGTAGGAACAAGGGAAGTTCTTTGGAGACCGAGCCAGTTAGTCAAGACAGTGAACGTGTCAGATCACACACACATAAACCATGGCTGCAGTCATCAGATAGGATGTTCTATAATGATTTATAGTTTATGACTAACATTTCAAACATCCAGTAAGCTCTCCTGAGGCACTTAGAGATTCCAGTTTGGAAAAAGTGTCATATTTCTTCCCAAGGTCCCACCCTCTTCCCTCCTGGGCCAGTGTAGTCACAGTATAATACCTCAGATAATGGCTTGGGTTGAAAGATGTAGGCTGGCCAAAGAGCTAAGGTCTTGGGCATTTTTGAAAATGTTGGTTCACTATAAATTAATCTGTGCTAATACAGCCAACTAATCCCTTCCACCCCCAGTGCTGAGGGTCGAACCCAGTACCCTGTGCAAGATAGGCAAGAGCTTTACCACTAAACTACTCCCTCATCCCCAGCCTCAGCCTGCTGATTTTTGACAGAGGCATCAAGAACATAAAAACAACAACAACAACAACAAAACAGCATCTTCAATAAATGGTGCTAGAAAATTTGATATGCATATGAAGAAAAATGAAACTAGATCCCTTTCTTTAGATGTGCATAAAAATCAATTCAAAATGGATCAAAGACCTAACAATTAAACCTGAAACTCTGAAGTTTCTACAAGAAAACATAGGAAAAACACTGCAAGACATAAGCATAGGCAGTGATGTTTTAGATAGGACCCCAAAGTCATAGGTGACAAAAGTAAAAATAGACAAATGGGATTCAGTCAAACTAAGAAGCTTCTGCATAACAAAGGAAATAACCAATAGAATTAAGATTCAATCTAGAGAATGGGGGAAAATACTTGCAAACTCCTCATTCAACAAGATTGTACTTGACTGACATAAAGTATATGATTGTCATCAAGTATATACGTGGAACTAAAAAACCTGAGTACCAAACAAACAATCCAATTAAAAAAATGGGCTAAAGGGCTGGGGATGTGGCTCAAGCAGTAGCATGCTTGTCTGGCATGCTCGGGGCACTGGGTTCGATCCTCAGCACCACATAAAAATAAAATAAAGATGTTGTGTCCACCGAAAACTAAAAAATACATATTAAAAAATTCTCTCTCTAAAAAAAATGGGCTAAAGAACTAAAAATATACTTCTCAAAAGAAGACATATAAATGACCAACAATACATGAAAAAATACTGTTTTGCTAATCATTGGAGGAATGTAAATCAAAACCACAATGAGATATCATCTCACCCCAGTCAGAACACCTATCATCAAAATGGTGAAAACAATAACAAGAAATGGCAAGGAGACAGAGAAAAGGGAACTCTTATACAGTGTTGGTGGGGACGTTAACTAGGACACCCTTACGGAAAACAGTAAAAAAACAAAAAAAACAAAAACTAAAACTAAAAATAGAACCAGTAGTTTCACTACCAAGTATGTGTCCAAAGAAGATGAAATCATTATACCAAAAAGATATTTGCTCTCCCAACTTTATTATGGTCCTCTTCAACCCTATGCCCTTCAGTGGATGAACGGATAAAGAAAACAGTATATTTACACAATGGAATCCTATTTGGTCATAAAATAATGAAGTCCTATAATTTGCAGCAATATGGATGGAACTGGAGGTCATTATGTTAAGTGAAACAAGTCAAAAACAAAAAGACAAATATCACATATTTTCACTCATTTGTAGGAACCAATAAGGCAGCCTTGT